TTTTTAAATTGGGTGTAAGAAGATTTACAGGGTCCCTGAAGAATCTAAGTAGTGGAACTCATTGTGATATACAAAATAATTCTTAGAATACTCAGGGCCAATTTCATAATTAAATTAAAGGAAACTTCAATTTTAAAAGGACACTTTAAATGTTATATCGATTTAATAAAACTTGGACCCCGCACACCGCTTATGGAAAAGTGGCTACCTGTTAAATGTCATAAATTTTTGATATGTTGCAGTTCTCGACCTCCTAAGCAATAGTGTCCATGGGACCATTCCAATCCTATGACTGGTTTTTGATATACAGGGTGTTAAACTTGAGAAATACCACTAATTTGATAACAGTTAGTTCAGGAGAAAGCTAATCGATTATAATTTTTTGTGCCAAATCTTATTGTAACATCTTTTGACATTCTACGATATCCGTATTTAAACCACATACTTGTTTATATATACTATAAAAATAGATATCGTAAAAATGTTACTATCCAAGGTATAACAGATCAAAAAATACTAATGAACGAATCTGTACTTATTCCATTTACAAAAAATGATCCATACAAAGTATACATCTGTGATTTAGATATCAATTTGGACAGATTACTAGGATCAGATTTTCTGGACTATTACAAATGCATTATAGATATAAAAAACATGACTAATTTTAAAACAATGCCATTATTTAAAATAGAAAATAAAAATTTAAAAATAAACGATAATTAAATTACCATAGGTTCTCATGTAGAACAGATGTTGAAATTAAAATGTAATACGCTTTATTGTTAGGACAAGAAACCGAGAAGTTGAAATTACCAACCGCGATCATAAAAATAGAGAAAAACAGCGTATTTTTTACCATAGGTCCTAATATAAATGCTATTCCTAAAACTTTCTAATCTTTCACTTTTAAATAAGAATCATTTAATAATCTAAATAATTGCAATTCCGAAGAAATTAAAAAATGTAACGACCGGAATTTCGAAATAAAAAATCAATTACCATTAGCTTATCCTAATGAGGAGGAAAAAGATTTAATCACCCAAATTTGCATTGATTTTTCTGACGTATTTTATTTAAAACCTAACCAACTGTCATTTTACAGAGAAATCAAACATTCTATTCATACAGATGAAACTAAACCAATATATAGAATGATTCATAAGTACCCACAGATACACAATCAAGAAGTCAAAGCTCAGATCAATAAAACGCATGGTTTCACCCCATACAAGTTAGTTTTTGGCCATAACTCTAGTAGGCCACCCGAAAAATTATATTCCAAACAAGAGCCAATCACTAAATATTTTCAACAATTATTGACATATCGCATCTTGTATACTACTATAAAATTGTTTGCGCTAAAAAATTCGTTTTAATAAACACATCTCTGGTTAAATTTCAGACTACAAATTTAGAGATAAAGTCAATGTAAAAGAAAATCAGATTAAAAACAAACTACAAAATAAATTTTTGGAAATTTTTTAAATTCTTAAAAATATTTATGCAACCGTATTCAATTTAGATATGAAACAAAAATCTTAAAACCCTACTTTCAGGATTCTACTGCTGATCGGAACAGCAGTTTCCCAATTCACGATCAACCCTATAAATAATACTGTAAGATTCTACTACCACGACGAAACAAGAATAATTGTTACTAACGACGATTGGATGTTATTAGTATATAAAAATATTTCGGATCTTAAAAATATATTTGAGTACAATAATCAAATTTTAGAATTACTAAAAATTCTATTCAACCTCGCGGTGACCGCCCTTTATCTAGCTTTCATTTGGAAACTAAAAAAAAACTTTCACTATTACTTCAAGTTTCAAAATCTATTAAAGATAAATTAAATTAAATAACATTCGATATTAAACGTCAAAAGCGTGGATTAATAAATAATATTAGCACTATAACTAATTGCATTAATGAAATTAAAAACGAACAAAGCAAAATCAAAAATTTATTGAGAAAACAAATTTCCGTTACACAATCAGTAATTAAAAGTTTTAATTCTAGTATAAGTCAAATAAAAATAAACGAAAATATTTTAAATAAGGATATTGTAAATATACGAAAGGCTGTCTACCAATCGGCAAACGAATTTAATTATTCGAATCAAAATTGAAATTCTTTGAAATTTGCGAAGAACTTTTTGAAAGATATGCGTCGAAAAATGGCAGAATACAAGTACTTAGGTAACAATAAATAAAAAGTGTTCTAAACTAGAGGAAAGCTGGCTATCGAATCACCTAAAGTGCTTTGCTAATTTTTGAAAAATTATTTATGTTGTCGTACGCAACTGCCATAATACCAACAACAAATGGATATATTGAGATTCTATAAGTATTTGTTTTCACACCTCATCGTTAGAATCGACCGGATGATTAGTGGTTTTGAGATATGCATATCATTATCGTTTTTTAATTGGAACAATCCTTTTGATTGAATTCACTAAAATAGACATACCAACGAAAACTATAAATATACGGGTATTATTAAATTTTATGTTGACTTTTTAAAACTGTGGGCGATAGCTTAGCCTTATATAAGGGAAGTAAATTGGTTTTTATTTCAGGATTAAGCGCAAATAAGAATTTAAAATTAAATGCACTTGTTAGAATAGTCTAGTTGGCAACGCAAATGTATTAAAACAAATTAATGAATTGTGTAGATAGGACGTTTTAACTAAGCAGGGCAGATTAAATAACTGAAAGGTTGTTTCAAGATAAACTTTAATGCGCGTTAGGAATCGTCAAAATAAGATGATAAACGTTTGTAGCACTTTAGTTTTCTGTCTCTGTTCAGATTCAGATACAAAAAAAATATATATTTTCTCAACAGCCAAAAAAGTTGAATTGCTTTATAAAAAAAAAAAAAAATGTATTGTTATACTTATAGACATACTTATTGATAGGGTTGTCACATTTTCGGAAGTGAACGTGGCAACCGTGACGATAGAACATCTTTATATATTCAGAATTTTGTGACAAAAAAAAAAGTCCCCCACTTATTTTTCGTACAAACGAGGGTTTTTTACCTGGTCTATTTTTGTATAAATCCGATTCCTCTGCGGCTTTTACAAAGCGTGGAATTTGCAAAAAAAGCGTGCAGACAAGTCAAAAAGCGTGAAGGCAAGTCAAAAAGCGTGTAGGCAAGTCAAAAAGCGTGGCTGCCAAGTCAAAAGCGTGACGTCTGGCAACCCTACTTATTGACTTGACGAGAAGATAGACTACCCGGCGAAAACCAACGTTGCCAAATGTTTTATAGCAAAATTTTTTAGAGCGAGGAGGAGAAGGAGGATGAGGAAGATAAGGAGGATAAGGAGGATGAAAAATCGAAAAATCGAAAAATCGAAAAATCGAAAAATCGAAAAATCGAAAAATCGAAAAATCGAAAAATCGAAAAATCGAAAAATCGAAAAATCGAAAAATCGAAAAATCGAAAAATCGAAAAATCAAAAAATCGAAAAATTGAAAAATCGAAAAATCGAAAAATCGAAAAATCGAAAAATCGAAAAATCGAAAAATCGAAAAATCGAAAAATCGAAAAATCAAAAAATCGAAAAATCGAAAAATCGAAAAATCAAAAAATCGAAAAATCGATAAAATCGAAAAATCGAAGTGTAGTTTATTTTATTTTATTACAAGTTTCCATAATATAAAATTTTACAGATATAGATGCTGACTTACAAACAATAATAATAATACATTAAATTTAACATACTAGAAAAGAAAATTTATTTTGATTTTAATCTTAGTTAAAAGTTGCTGCTGTTATTTTTTTTTGGACCCCAATTGTGTCATGTTTTTGTGTAAATGTTTTTTATAGGATACTAAAAGTTTAGAATACTGGCAGCATATATATCGTTCTTAGTGCCGATAAAGCACTTTCTAGAGATGATGCTGTTCTATACTTTTTAGTAGATATTATCAAATATTAAGAGACTATTTTTACTGATAGTACTGTTGAAATTAAAGGATAAGGTAATACCATGAACATTCCCAAATCTCCCTTTATACTCGTATTACAACAATAAAAAATCTGTTATCTGTATTTTTATTTTTATTTTACTCTTAAAATCATATATTGGTTCAATTCAAAAGAAAATTGCCACAAAATTGTACTTATCAAATTTCAGCTTTTAAGAAACCTTGAATTTGGTCACACATACCTAATTTGTATTTTATCTAGATAAAATTAAATAATTTATCAATTAAAACATGCAAGACTTATTTATAAATAAATACAACAGTATGTTTTGTGCTTTATCTAGCTATAAACAAGTTTATTTTTATTATTTTGACAAAATTATGTATAACTACCATAAGAAGCCATGTATTTTGAACAACGTATGCAGTACAAGCGCCCATGCGGTTAATTATGGAAGCTAATTAGCATGCGTTTTTTAGGACCGTATTTTGAGTATGCCGGTTCGCCTCCTTATCTCTAGTCTTCATACGCATGCATAAACACATTAATATGTAAATAGCTACATGACCACAGACCGTTAAAAAGTACCAGATAACTACCCTACATGGTATTTCTCTTGAAAAGACAGAAACCTAATTACCTATCAGACAGTGACTCTCGGATAGAACATCCGTTGGTCAGTAAACTGGAACTTTATCTAAAGCTGAAAAGACCGACCTCAAAAACTTGAGTACTGACAAAAAAAAAGTTCAATTAGCTTCCCAAAATATTGGATAGTTGTGACTTTCAACTAGGCTGTATATAAATTATACTCGTATAATGTAACGTACAGTTATTTTATGATCAGGATTTGTACTTACTAGAGTGCTACAAACAAAATTTACCTACATATACTAAAAAAATCGATAAATTCTTATCATTGAATATTTTAAATAATTATTAAAATGAAAGAAATAATACTTTCACAGAAATTGTATTATGTTTGGAAACGCAATTATTTAATCTATCTAATAATCTATAATTGTTTACATTTTATAAATAAATAACATTTTACACTCACCCTTTGTTATTCCAAAAGAATTTTCAAGAAAAATATAGAACTACAGTCGCAATTACTAGACACGACAGAACGCTATACCTAAATCCAAAATTTATAAAACTTACCGCTATATTTATAGCACCAGAATAAACCACACGCTTCACGAATAACTCTAGAAACAGACTAGAAATAGATTTCACTTTCTCTGTCTTATACGTATGTTACGGTAATTAAAAATGTCTAAAATTAGGACTAAAGGAGCAATAACTTGGATTACGGAGGCTTCTTACATATTACTATCGTGCCGACGAAAAGATATTCATGCCTTACTTCTTCACGTTTTCGATAATTTCTTCCAATTAAAAAAATCTATTAATTTTTATAATTTTGGTTAACAGCTCTAATTATAAATGTTGTTAAAATAAAATACATTTTTTATAGAGCCTATTTAATGCACGGCAACAAGGGTACTGAGTTCGCTGTAAAGATAACCATGCTTGTTAACTGTAAAACTAAATGGTTTTTTTATACTGCTGTCACCCTTATCATTTAAATAAAATATTTAAATATTTTTAAATGTCCCTTATAATATTTTATTTGGATAGTTATTTATTAAATTAAGAGTAAAAAATTATTATTATTTTGTATCTCACAATAATATTTATTTCTTTTTAAAGACCCTGCGCTAGATAAAGTTTTTGATTTCTAGCGATGATTTATGCACGACCTTTAATTAGCTCTACGATAAGGGTGTTTTCAAAGTTGAGTGATTTATTTTAACAGCTTGTAGAACTCGTCAAAGGAAGTCGATATACCAAAAATCACCTAAATAAAAGTTGCATATTCAAGGAAAAACTGCAGTAGTATTCCAAATGATATGACTTTTGATAATAATCCTTTAAATAATTCACAAGACATTGTCAATGCATTTGCTACATATTTTCAGTCATCGTACACTAATTCGTCTAAAATTGATATTTCTAAACTAGATAATGTTGTTAATATTAACAGTTGTAACATTCCGCTACTTACAGAAGAGGATGTCATGAAAGGTCTTAAAAGATTGAAACCTAAAAATACTAGAGGCTCAGATGATATTCCGGCATTTTTAATAAGAGATTGCGCAAATATTTTAACCAAACCTTTAACCATGGTCTTTAATATGTCCTTACGAGAAGGCAATTTTCCAAGTAATTGGAAGATATCTAAAATATGTCCAATCTTTAAGAAAGGATCCAAATCTATCATAGAAAACTACAGACCTATATCCATCCTTAGCAATTTTGGAAAAGTTTTCGAAAATGTCATTTATGAAATACTTTTCGCTCATGTAAAATCGATTATATCTACGGCACAGCACGGCTTTTTTCCAGGCAGATCCACAGAGACCAATCTGATATGCTTTACACAATATGTTGCGCAAAACCTTGATAGGGGTGGCCAGGTTGAAACTATATATACTGACTTTTCCAAGGCCTTTGATCGCCTCGATCATAGTATACTTTTGAACAAGCTTTCCATTGTTGGACTCACTACGTCTTTTCTGCGTTTCTTTGAATCATATTTAAGTAATCGTAAATTGAAAGTTGAATACCATGGTTTTCAGTCAATTTGTATAAAAGCTTCTTCCGGTGTCCCTCAAGGTTCAGTTCTAGGACCACTTTTATTTTCCATTTTTGTAAATGACATTACTGAAAACCTATCATGTAATACTCTACTCTATGCCGATGATTTCAAATTGTTTAAATCAATCTCTAGTATTGATGACTGTTTGATTATGCAGGAGAACCTAAATAAATTGAACCTTTGGTGTAATTCTAACAACTTACCGCTAAACATATCTAAGTGCAATTCTATCAGCTTCACTCGCAAACTAAATCCGATTGAGTATAATTTCACTGTCAACAATATTACCATCAATAAATGTCTTTCTTTTAGAGATCTTGGTGTTCTTTTCGACGCTAAGTTAAATTTTATTGAACATGTCAATACTATTCAAAAAGAAGCATACAGAAATTTGGGTTTTGTCATTCGAAATGGACGCCAGTTCTCTGAGCCTAACACTTTAAAAACTATTTTTAACGCTTTTGTACGTAGTAAGCTAGAATATGCGTCCATTGTTTGGAGTCCTGGATATGAAGTATATAGCCAAGCATTAGAAAAAATTCAGCGAAAATTTGTCAAATATTTGTGGTGCAAGCTAGATGGCGTCTACCCTACTCGCAATATTCCGCAAACCATCTTGCTGAATAGATTTGATATCCTTGAATTACGTACTCGTAGGAAATGTTATTCTATCTGCATTCTTTACAAATTATTAAATTTTAAAATTGACTGTCCCGAACTACTTCGTCAACTAATGTTTAATGTTCCTAGTATCAGAACTCGCTCCCCTTTTTATTTCTATTTTCAAACACCCAGGACAAATATTTTAAAATTTTCTCCAATGTATTTTATGTATCAAAATTTTTGTGAACTTCAAAATGATGTTGATTTATTTTCTATTTCAATTAAAGAAATAAAACGCTTAATTGTGGACTGAGTTAATTATCATAAGACGACGTAATTTTTTCTCCTAACGGAGTTTTTTTTTGCGTTTTCTTATGATGGTTAAAAACGTTTATTAAACTATTTTTTGTTTACATATTTTTATGCTATTATTAGTATTTAATATTTTGTTATCATTTTTATGATGTAAATTATACTGTAATTGTAATTATTTTTGTGCCCATCCTGTAATTGGTTTTATACTGTTGGATGGTGTAACCCAAATAAATAAATAAATAAATAAATAAATTGTTCCAGAATGAATTAATTCCTATTTTATTATTTAAATATTCGCGCTTTGTCTCAAATCGCTTACTTAAAACTTTGGCCCACACATGCGCTTCGTCTGACTGTAAGACAAGTGAAACGCCGTTGGACGGAGAGTACTACAGAAATTGCCGCGACGAACGCTTTGTGGTGTGTATGTGCCGTTAAAGCCGTTGGACGGAGAGTACTACAGAAATTGCCGCGACGAACGCTTTGTGGTGTGTATGTGCCGTTAAATCCGCTATTATAAATCCTGTATAATAAACGTTGTTATATAAATTGTGTAACCGGGCCCGGTCTTGGCTACTGGACTAATACTACCACCTACTTCATCCGACGAACCATATGATGCAGCACAGAAGGTAAGCGCGTTTGAGACACGTTTATCTTATTTTTTTTCGACTGTTACAATCAGCCCCTTTTTTACGTAATATTCCAATCATTCTATTACATTTTTTTGGTCCTTCGAGTACTTTAATAACAGTTAGAATTAAATTGTTGCATTATTATAACTGTGGGATTTTTTTTTGCGAAAAATTCGATTTAAAATTTTCTTTATTTTTTAAATTATCAAAAGCGCTATTCAAAATTATAGCATATCTGCTAAAATTAATCAGTTCTTAAAAAAAAAAAAATCATTTAGTTTGCATACAATATTATTTCAATAAGTATTAAATTTATTGAGTTAATTGTAAAATTTATCAGGTAGACATATTGGTCATTTTTTTAGTCGAGTCGTGCTCAAGTTGTTCGACATCGGTAGTGTACACAGGTTCCAATCAATCGGCCTTCAAGTGGCCTTCATTTATTATTATTATCGCCTTTTCGCTAATTGTCGCTCTGTTTATCAATCACCGCTTTGTCGTTTACTCCGCTACCGTATATTTCGTTATTTTTGAAATTTGTGAAAAATCGCCCGCCTTTTCGCCGTGTTTCGTATCGAGGTGAGCTTGATACCGCTGCCGCTACATTAATATTGCCTTTTGATCAGCTGATACAAATAAATTTGGTTTTAATTTTGTTTTGCTTGCGATTCGATTTATTTAATTTATTACAATGGTTGAAAAACTTGTTAAATATAAAACTTTAAGAACTTCTTGCTTAAATGAAATAAACGTAATTAGTATGCTCGCTGATAAAGCGAATAGTAATAAATCATTCAAAAATGTCTTTAAAGTAAGGTGCGCAGATATTGATAGTCTTAAAGAGGATTTTTTTAAACATCATAATAATGTTCTTGCCACATTGTTTGCTATCCCTGAAGATGCTGGGGGCGAAGATGCTACCAAAGAAATGTTTTTAGAAGAATTTTATAAGATTAAAGCATTATTTTCGGAATTATTTGAATCTGATACTCAACCAGTAAACGCTAATCAAAATACTGCTTTGCATAATTCTACACTTTTTCATATAGATCCAAATTCATCTCATATTCGTTTGCCGGTGATTGAATTAAAGAAATTTAGTGGCGATTATAGAAATTTTCGCTCATTTATAGACCATTTTAATAATTTAGTTCATGAAAAACCTCATTTATCTAATATTGAAAAATTCGATTATTTACTCTCTTGCTTGGATGGAAAACCATATTCTTTAGTTCGGCATTTGCCTTTAACTTCTAATAATTATCAATTAGCTTATGATACTTTACAAGAGAGGTATGCAAATCCACGAAAATGTGCACAAGCTCATTGGAATGAGATTGACAGCACGTCTAAAATTGAATCGAATAATCCGCACGCTTTAGAAAAATTACTTGATATTTTTAAAGAAAATATTGCCGCTCTAGAAATCTTAGGTTTTCCGGTTGAACATTGGGATTTCATTCTAGCCATGATGTTACTTAAACGACTTGATAATGAAACTAAACTACGTTTCGAACTTGAACATCGTTCTTGTCAGGTTCCTAGCTATAAAAGTCTTATTAAATTCTTAAACGAACAATATTTAGCTTATGATAATATTGATTCGGACTCGCCATCCAGTTCAAATATAAAAAATAAACCTAAGATTATCACACCACGTCCGCGTTCGTTTTTTACGAATACTGGCGCTAAATCGCCTAGTTCTAATTGTATTCTTTGCAAGGAAACTCATTCGCTTTATAAATGTCAGAATTTCGCTTCAAAGTCGCCCTCTGAAAGACATGCCTTCTGCAAATCTAACCATTTGTGCTATAATTGCTTGAGTAGTTCTCATGACCTGAGGTCTTGCAATAGTACTCAAGGTTGTAGATATTGTTTTTCAAAATCACATCATAGCTTGTTGCATTTTGATCGGCAAATATCTCAAAATCACCGCCCTTTGGACCGCTTGCCTCCTACTTCGTCTACGTCTCTGCCAAATTTCACCAGTACTA